GGAAGATGCAGAAATTAAAAATATGTTGAGATGCAACTGAAAGCTCAAGTCATGAGGCTGTCGTGTTCTTTGCTGACATCTACTGGTGAGGTGTGATATAGCAGTAAAACAGTTGAGGTGGGCGCTGGCTGCTCTCTCTCGCAGTGAAGTTGCCCAAGTTCTTTTCCTCTAATTATGTAAGAAGAATGTGTTGTTCATAGGAGATGACTGAAAAATCAATACATGTGTTAGTAGTTAACGTATTTGCATAGTACTAGGGGTATCGGGGAGGTCCACGCCACAGGCACTTGGGAAGCCTGTTAAAATGCAAATCCTCAGTTCATCTTCCCAAGTGTGAGAGATGAAGCTTTGCTATCCTCACCTCGCAGGAGCTCTGGCTGCACCGTTTCCAAGACGTGCCCGTCTGTTCTCTTGGCAGCCCGTGGGGTATTCGTACTCTTCTCCAGCACCACAGCTCAAGGGCATCAGTTCTTCTGTCATCCTTGTTCATTGTCTAACAACAACAGGTTCACTGTAGAACAGAACTATTGCAATCTCTGCAAGTGTGAAGCCGTGAAAAATGGCATTTTCCACATTTTCCCCTATAATTCTGGAATGCTTGGTCTTGAGATCACAGTTTGTGGAATATATAGTGAGAAACAAAGAGTTTAACAGATAAACCTTCTATTCATTTTGCGTCTGAGATGCTGGTCAGATGGTGAGATGCTAGTCAGACTGGGCATAGATTAGGAATTCCTGTCTTGAGTAAGGAAGATAATTATACCAAAGGACCTTTAAAATCCCTTCCAATTGTATGGTTTTTCTATTATTCCAGGAAATCTGTTTTCTTCCTCATTAAGCTACATTACATGACACTACCCCACCTCCAGATACTCTGCAGACAGACGTTTCAGTGTTGGTTTCTATTGCTCACTTGCAGGTTAGATGCTAAAAACTGCAAACGCATCAATCTAGGAGGAAGCCAGGCAGCTGGCTACCTCCAGCGCCTCCTTCAGCTGAAGTATCCCGGGCATCTGGCTGCGATCACTCTCAGCCGCATGGAGGAGATCTTGCATGAGCACAGCTACATTGCTGAGGATTACATAGAAGGTAAGCTGCAGGCCAGCACAGCTACAGTGCCCAGGTTTATGTAGAAGGTAAGCTGCAGGCGAGCTCAGCTACAGTGCTGAGGATTAAGTAGAAGGTACGCTGCAGGTGAGCACAGCTACAGCGCCGAGGATTACGTAGAAGACCACTCGCGTGCAGCTTCTGAATGTTGTCCACCTTCCAAGCAGTCTTCACAGACTGTTGCCAGGATGCCGCTTTGCCTTGTACACTTACGTTTTTTTGTTCATGGTGCTTTGTTTAAACACCTTCTTACCTTCTTCCTCTCTGGTGTATATTTTCTCAACAGACTATTCAGTATACTTATTATTTTATTTATGTGAGTTCCTTTTAAATTGATGGGCTTTACAGCATGCCGAAATAGAGGCCCCTGAATTGCCCATTTACTGTTCTAGGAATTAAACATTTTTAAGAAAGACAGTATCTAGAGCAGAACATACTACTTTAAAACTTCGTTTTCGGCCTCTCCTCTGTATCTCCTTTCAAGGAAGGAGATCCATCCCTTTGGGATGTAACTTTCTAATAGATCTATATTTACTAAAAATAAATAAAAAGTCATTTTCAAGCAGTTGAAATTATTTATTCATATTAATACAGGATTTTGAATTCTAGGAACTTTTTCTTTTCAAGCTGATGCTTGAAATTTTACGTGTATTCTGTTACTAATACTTCTGGTTATTCTAAGAGTTATTACAGTTTTATTGTATAATACAATAAAATAATGTAGTACTCATCAGTTTAAATAGCAAAAAAAGAATGTCGCCCTCATCCAATTGAAATAGTTCAGATAAAACTGAAGAACTATAGGGAATTCCAGTGTGAATAAATTTCTAGCTCACATTATGTGCATGGACTTTTCTTACAGACATAGGAGGTTCTAACTTGAATTCCTTGCTATGAGCTCTTAAAGGGCCAGAACCATGTCTTAATTCACTGCAGACAGGGCCGGAGTAAGGCGTGTGAGGACCCCAGACACTGATAACCTGTAGCATCGTGCAGATTGCATTTTATGTTGTGTGGTCACCACATTGGAATAGCACTCTTCCCACTTCTTCCCTGGGATTCTCATTTCCCCCCTTCCTTCCATCATCATTTCCTTTCTTGCCTTCCTATTTTTCTCCTGGCCTTTCTGACCTTTGACGATTGGTTGTCCTAGGAATTGAGTGCTTCTTTGGTGCTGTTTTCTACCTTATAAATCCACCTGTTGTTTGCTGGGAGCTGAGCCACCACAGTGAGTTTAGTTCTAGGCTTAGAAGGTTAATGAGGGCCATTGTCTGGTGGGGGGTGGGGGGCGGGTGGTCCATCAGTTCTTTGACCAGCAAACCCTGGTTTTGTGGTTTTGAGTCTCGTTCCACTTTTTTCCCTGCTCTGTCCAGGACCCTCTCGTGTGATCCTTCTGAGCGGGGTCAGCAGTGGTAGCTGGGCACCAGCTTGTTGTCATCTCACATCGGTGGAGGTGGAGCCTTGAATGAGGGGCCATTAGTTCTTTGGACTAATTGTTCCCTGGAATTTTCCTTCTGATGTCCCCTCCCATCTGTATAAAGGACTTTGTTTACAAATCTTGTCTTAGTGATTTTGCTGCATTGTGTCCAGGTTTTGTGGCCACATTCAGTTAAAGAGAGAATGTGGCGCATGCCTTCACCACCTTCCCTAGACCTGGGTCATTGATCTTCATTTTTTTTTAAATTTCTGCATTAATAGTATTTCCGTTCCATAACTTTGAAAATTATTTCCTGTCAGAATTGGAGAAATGGCGCTGCCCGGATTATTACGAGAACAACGTCCACAAGATGCAGCTCCCGTTTTCCAGCAAGCTCCTTGGCAGCACGCTGACCTCTGAGGAGAAGCAGGAGCGGCGGCAGCAGCAGCTGCGGCGCCTGCAGGAACTCAATGCCCGCCGCCGGGAGGAGAAGCTGCAGCTTGACCAGGAGCGGCTGGACAGGCTGCTCTACGTGCAGGTGGGAGCAGCTGCCGGTGGGCCCCCCGCCTCGCTCAGCCCGGTGGGCCCAGAGAAGACTCTTCCCACATTGTCTCCTGCAGCCTTTGAGTGCACTGACCACCCCCATCCCCATCGGGTTGGGAAGGAGCATAGCCATCTATAAGTACCGTCCAGTAGAGAGTATAGTATAGTTTAGTTCTTTCTGAAAGAGCTCTGGACTCTGGGCTTTATAGTTTTGTTTCTTTTTGTTCTATAATATCCTTTCATTTTTTAACTTTTTATTCTGTGCATGGCACATATCTGCAAAGGCACAGATTTTAGGATAAAGGTCAGTACATTTTCACTGACGTTGCTGCAGTTACGTGCCTGCCATCCTGCTCACGTAGCAGGATTTTCCAGAAACATCCTTCATGTCCATTCTCAGCCCCTGCCCCTCCTCCCTGCCCCACCTCAGTGGTAATAGGTCAGCCGTCTATCTGTCACCATAGATGAGCTCTGCCTCACTGGGTGGTGGTGCATCTGTGAAGCAGTGCCAGCCTGGAGAGACCCCGGTGGGGATGGAGGATGTGAGCAGCCCATCTGCTGCTCTTCTCTCTGACTCTCAGGCCACTTCTCTGTCCTTCCCGTACATGACTGTGTGTCTTTGAGGGTGACCGTGCCTGCTCTGGTCTCAGGAACTTCTCGAGGATGGCCAGATGGACCAGTTCCACAAAGCTCTGATAGAGCTGAACATGGACTCGCCGGAAGAGCTGCAGTCCTACATCCAGAAGCTCAGCTCCGCGGTGGAGCAGGCTAAGCAGAAAATCCTTCAAGCCGAGGTCAACCTGGTGGTGGACGTGGTGGACAGCAAGCCCGAGGTAACGGGGAGCCCTCCCCTGCCTTCCCCGGGGCCATTTGGAGGGGACAGCCCTCCCTGAGGGGCTGGGGGAGGAGCCTGAGAAGGCTGGCATCAAGTTGTGACCAGTCTTGGGGATAAGAAGGGCAGCGTGATGAGTGATGTCATGGGGATATGGGTGGACACTGGTGACACTCACCTTCCACCAGCTGGCACACCGACAGGAGGGATTTCACCCTGCACCCTGGTCCTACATCCAGGAGGGGACGTGTGCGTGTGGCATAGGAAGAGCATTCACACTGGCTGGGTGGCCCGTGCCTCTGCTGGCTGTTCAGTGGACAGTCACATATGCCCCTTAGCTCCCTTCTGATGTTCTGTTCTAGTAAGTTTATTTTCCTTTTTTTTCTTAATCTCTTATTCTTAATCTGTTTCTGTTTAGCTAAGTTTTGAAATGCTTAATAAAATAGTACAGGTTCTTTTCAGGCTACTGTTGAGGCATGTTGCAAGCAGGAGTGGCATGAACTTTGGTAAATGTCCATAGTTATAGAAAGACTAGCCTTTTGTTCATAGGGTCATTATGAGTTATGCTCTACTTGAAGGCAATTAACAACAACAAACATTGAGGCATGAATGGAGGATCGTTTCAACACAGGGAAGGACGTATGTACTGAATATGTTCTAATACATTTATTCTTGATCTTCCACTGACTTCCTTTCCGTCCTCGTGTTCCCTGGGGTTAGGAGTCGTGCCTCAGACTTAGGCCTTTTTTTTTCCAGCAACTAGTTGTTCGTTGCTGTTGAGAACGAAACATTGCTCAGTCCTGTGTCATCTGCATGGTCGTTACTGCGTTCAGGTCCATGGTGTGGTCGCTGTGTAACTAGAATGCTTCCCCACTTAGGAGCTTTCTCTCACAGCAGTAGGTGGTTGTTGTGTTCCATTATGTGGAAACTGACTTTAGCAGGTTTTCAGAGACAGTAAATCACATGAAAAGATATTGCCTGTCCTTCTCCCATAGAGCAAGTGGTGGATTCAAACCTCATACCTTTGGGATTGTAGCACAGCTTCTTACCACTAAAGCCACCAGAGCACAGCACTATAGCAGATGCTCTTTTTTGCTGGTCTGTAGGATTTTCATTGACTGTTTCCAGAAGTAGATTGCCAGGTCTTTCTTTCTAGTCTCAACGCTCCCCTGAAACCTGTCCACCAAGAGTGACCTAGGTGATGGTACTGGAAGTACCAGTACCAGAGGCCTAGTTTTCATGTCATGGCACCGTGCTAGCCACCGTAGTACAGACTGACAGATGGACAGCAGCTCATAGATTGGCTCAGTCAAACACTGTAGGTTGATTGGCCTTTTATTAGTTAACTGAAGATTCATTCTTTGAATAAACTCTCTGATTTTCTCTTCCTTTCTAGTATTTGCTTCCTTACCAGTGGATTTTAGAGACCAGGCCACAGAGCCAAACCTAGGCCCTAGGTAATCTAGATTGTGAACCTGGCATGGTAAAGGGTCTGGCTGCAAGTTGGACATAGACCCCAGATGTCACTGATTGGCCCCCTGTCCTAAGAACCGGAAGGAAGCTGTAGTAATTGTGCATGTGGTTCCTGAGTTACGGGAATTCTGGTGACATAGTCTCTAGGGAGTTGCCTCGGTAACCCAGAGTTGGTGCTTCTCGGGGTGTTTGAATCTACCAGCAGCTCGTCAGGACGGAGGTGGGCAATCTCTTCCCATGAGATTTACAGCCTCCTGCAAACCCACTCAAGGGCCAGCTAGGAGTCACTTCCAACTCAACAGTGATGGACTGATTCCTAAATTTTCTTTCCCATGGACAGAAGCCAGAGGGTCATCGACTTGCCTTGTGACACTTTTAAGGGCAGAATTAACCCATGAAACCTGTTGGGTTTTAGGTCAACTTACTTTAAATTCTTGATGGTCCGCGCTGTGGAAGATTCCCGAGTCTGTTTGCTGTGGGGGCTCCTTGGTGATTTCTGAGCTCTCACTCCGGCTCATGGAAAGCTCAGTGTGGAGCGGCTGGGTCCCAGCTGCACCCCTCACTTGTAGGTTCTCCTCTTTGCCTGGCTGTGGGTTATGTGCACAGACATGAGCACTCATGTTTATAGAGCGGGTCCTGAGCCAGGTGGACCAGGTGCAGATGCTGGAGCACTACCGTCCTGGGAAGGAGGAACCTTTCCTGCCACCTTCCTCACCTGCAGAGTCTCACATCAGCTCTGGTTGACCAGTGTCGTTTTCCTAGTCTGCCACTCTGTTTTCACCTCTGTGAGCTATTTACTGGGATTCAGAACCATGTTTCTTTGTTTTTAATTCATCCACATTTCGTTTTTATCCTGTTGAACCTGTTTGTGTCAATAGAGTATCCACCTCTTTTTGCCAGAGATAGGCCTTTGACCCACGTGCAGGAGAGAGAGTTCTAATTTGAACACACACTGTGAAAATGTGATTGGGGAACTGGGAGAGGAATTATTTTTTCTATTCTCTGCTCATGCTGTTATTCAGCCACTCATTCATTTACCAGCTATCCACGTTGAAGCTCTGGGAACACATTCAAATGCCCCTAGGCTCAAGGACATTGGAAATGATAGACTATAAAAGGTTTCACTACATAACAATTTAAAAATCAGATAAATTGGTTTGTCGCTAAAGATTTACTGCATGGTCAACATTTATTAAGAGTGATTAAAGTCAATTCCAATAGCATTTGTGACTAAATTTGGCCCTGGCTTTGGCTAGCTGTTTCTCCATTTCTGAAAGCATTTATAATATTTTCCAAAAATCCTAATTCATTGGAATGAAAAAGAAATTTACACAGGTTCATTTTATAGTGCCGTTTAGGAGTAAGGGCTGAGTTGGATTAATGCAGCTGAATTTTTAAACTTGTCGTATTTTATAAAATCCATTTTTTTCCCCTAAAGAGCAATCTGTTTTACCCCTTGATAGTCTATAAGGCGTTCTGACTTGGATTTTGTAAGATAAGTAGACTTTATTAGCATTCTGAATGAAATACTTAAAACCTGAAGATACTGGCTTTCCACATCCATAAACATGGCACAAGTGTGGATTGGAGGCAGGAGGAGACTGTTGGGGAGCTATTATTTGTTAGAAAACACAATGAGCAGAATATAGAATGTTCTCTTATTGTGTAGCCAAGATCAGAGTTGTTCTTTTCTTGTTCTTATGCCATTTGAGGCTGTTCCAGGAACCCACACTGCATCTTTCCCTGATCTGCTTTGGCAAACTCGTGTTCTGCTCAGTTCCAAAAGAGCAGTCGATGTGTGTTTCTGAATGCCACACAGTGTACGTAGGTACCTGGCAAACCCCAGAGTGAGAGAAGCCAGCATGGTTAGAGAAATCTGTTCCCCACCGGATGCCCATTCCCTGCCTTGAAATTATGAACTTTGTTCCTTCTTCGGTGCATTATATGAATTGAGAGAATCTTTGTTTTATTTTTTACCACTTTCAGTAGAACCAGCTTCTTGTTAGGTGACATCAGGTTGATTTTTAGTGCAGAGACTTGATGTGACGGAGAACTGCCTCACAGAGTTTTCTAGCTTGTGGTCTTTGTGAGAGCAGATTTCCAGATCTTGTTCATGCAGAACCCTTGGAGGGATTTGAACTACCAGCCTTTCAGTTGGTGGCTCAGCATTTAACCGCTGTTCCACAAGGGCTCAGTGTCATGCCTATAAATGCAAACTAGATGAAAGTGGATCATTATCTTTCCATTGTGCTTGAAGCAGCTTTTTGAAACCCTTCTCTACTATTGTTAATACTCTTCTCTATTCCAGAGAAGTTTAAACTTAGATCCCAGGGGCCTACCATGCAGTGCCAGGAATGATGTGCCAGGGACCTGAGATGCAGAAGTAATTAACATACAGTACCTGCCCTCCTGATGCCTCAGGAGAAAAAAGAGAAAAAGACTAAGGTGCTAGTTTGATACTTAGCTAACCTAAGCTAGTCTGGGAGGCATGCTTGTTTGTGTATGTGGAACAGAGGTGGATTTGTAAGAAAGGATTGAGACATTTGAGCTGGGTCTCAGAAGACTAAGATTTTACCAGGTGATAAACAAAAGAACATTTTTGATGGAAGGAAGACGTGACGGGGGGGATGGCAGGTTTGGTGTAGAGTATAGGCGAGAGGGGTCACGTGGGAGGTGTGGTGGGAAAGGGAGGCAGGGACCTGGTTCTTTATTAATCACAGTAACCTCACGTCCTAAACCCACTGCCTTCAAGTTGATTCTAACTCATAACACGTCTTCATCAGGTTTCTGAGGCTGGAAATATTTTTTTTTCAATTTTATTATTTTGTGTGTGTGTACCGTCAAATCAGGTCTGACTGGTACAGGAGGAGAATGCCCCTCTTTCTCCAACAGAGCATCTGGTGGATTCGAACCTTGTACCTCTGAGATTGCAGTGCAGCTTCTTAGCACTAGGCCACCAGAGCTCCCTGAGAATGTAAATCTTTAAGGAGAGAGACGGTCTTTGTCCTGCAGAGTGGCTGGTGGATTTGAACCCCCGGCCCTTTATGGATTGTTCCTCTAGGGCTTCTTAATAAAACTGAGGAGCCCAGATAGGAGCTTGTAGCTGTTCAGAGCCTTCAGATATGTCCAGCAAGGAAATCATCAGATGAGCTTTTAATTTAGGAGAGAGATCAGTGTCTGGAAAAATGCATCGTTGAGGTGAGCAGTGGGAAGAAAGGATAGAAACATAATAGTTCTGACGGGAGCTGACCTTTGTCGGTAGTTATGGGGACGAGGGTAGGCACCCGGGGTAGGGTATGAAGATTGAAGATCAGACGTGGCTGTAGTGACAGTGGCTGAGATCGGTGGAACACAGGATGTGCGCTGCATTGGTGCTGAGCGTTTCTGCCAGCATTTCCCTGATTATCACAAGTAGGTATTTGGATTATTTCCATGTTACAAGTAAGGAACAGAGTAGAGAAACGTGCCCAAAGTCACACAGCTACAAGTAGTGGAGGTTCAGACATAAACAATCCAAGTCCATCATTCCGGAAAGCTCTTGGGCTTAAATGGCAGTGGGTAGGTGGCGAGGCCTTTGACAAGATGAGATGCTAATGAGAGCGGTTCTAAGGTCTCTGAGGACACTCAGCTCTGGGGGGATAGAATCACCCAGGAAATGAGAAAATACCTGGGGAATGCTCCCACTTAGCAGGTGAAGGAAGAGGAAGAAGCAGGACACAGAGACTGAGGCAAAGCCGAGGGAGAAGAGAGAAGCCAGAAGGGGTTGATGGCAGATTTAAAGAGCATGAGTGGGGAGCTTAACCTGGCCCAGAAGGTGGTGTGCCTTGTCCTTTAAGACAAGGCACGATGAAAGGGCAAGAGGGAAGAAAAGAGCGGAGAAGAAGTTGTCGTCGTCGTTGTTGTGTACCATCAAGCTGGAACCGATCCACAGCTGATTTTCAGAGCCACTAAACCACATGGAAGGGGATTGCCCATCTTTCTCCTGGAGGAGAAGAAATAGGATGTTGTTACAGAAGCAGTCAAAGTGACCTGCTAAGAACCACAGAACTGAGATGGGAAAAGAAAGCGTTGGGAGAGATGTAGGCCTTCTGGGGGTTACAGAAGAAAGTTGAGGGGTAATGGAAGGATTGCCTAGTTGTAATCCAGGGCTTCCTCCCCCCGCCCCTCTGGACATGTAGTTCACTTCTCTGCTGTGTGACTAAGCCGTGGGCCGTGAGTCATGGTGGCTCCACGCATGTCAGTAGAACCGTAGGTTTACGGTGACTGACCTTTTGACAGTAGGACCAGGACGGAGGGACAGAGTCCATTGTGATTGAACTCCAGGCGAGGCAGATGGAGGTGTGACTTCATGGAGGTAAGGGCAGTCAGAGGCATGGGGGTTACAACCAAGATGAAGAGCACAGATGAGGCCGATGGGGAGTACACAGGCAGGAGGAGTGGGGCCCAGTGCCTGCTTTCACTCGTGGGGGATCACAAGGCAGGACTGTCCCCCGTCACCGTCTGCAGACGCAGGAGCACGCTCCTCGGCGGACTCTCCACTGCTCCCGGCCATCTAGATCTTTTCCTAAAACATACGCTTAAAGCACTAGCTGTCTTCTCACTCTCAGACCGACAGTTGATAGGTGAAGGAGAGCAGAGACTTCCCAGCTAAGCCGTGTTGTCTCAGCCACGTGGCACCGCTGACTAGTGTGATGTAACGGTGGGTGGTATACATACTTCCCTGTGCATGTGGCGTGGTGATGGCCGCCTGACGTAACTTCACAAGGGGGTTAGAGAATAACTCGCATCTACAGCCGCAGGCTGATTCTTCTGAGAAGGAGGTTCCTCTTCTCCCGCCTTTCTACCTGTATTGGCCACGAAAACACTGGCCTCTTTCATTCATTGAGAATGAGGTCCTTCTCTTTACTCTTAACTCTTCTTCCCTCTTTAAAGGACCTCTTTTTAAACCAGTCCCTTTCCCTTCTCTCCTTTAGCTTCAGAAAAAGAAGTATCAAAAAAAAAAAAAAAGAAAAAGAAAAAGAAGTATCCCCCTTCCTTCTTGGGCATGCTGTCAAGCCTTGGAAGATGCCCCAGGAATATGCTAGAATTGGCTCTGGTGACCAGGATATAGAAGATGATGTCGTCCATTTATGCCAGACGTGCCGCATGGCTGTAGTGGGAGCGAGGGGGGCAGTGAGGAGTCGGAACGTTTGTTTGTAGTACATAAACAGGTTTTAGAGAAGCATGTTTAAAAGCTCAGAGTTTGGACAGTGATGTGCATCCCTCACCGATTCCTGGAGTAAGTGGGACTCGGCACAGTCGGCGTGAGCCTTGCCTCGCAGTGTTCTTGGCTGTGCGTTATCGAGTCAGCTTGAATCCTCCTCCGACACCGCTGTGTGAGATGACTCCTTTCTACAGCAGCTGTGAGAACATGCCTCCTTGGGGTGTAACGAAATGTTTCTCCCTCCCTGTGACCTCTGCCACCCCTTGGAGTCCAGAAAAGTAGGACTCGTCTGTCTTTCTGATGGCGGGATGACAGATGGCTGGAAAGGTCCGTCCAAGCCTTCTCTTCCCCACACAGCTGCTCTCATCACATTAACGTGAAACTCAAATCGTCCTAAGCCATCTACTGGGACTGAGAGCTGGCCTGCCCAGGTCCCACCCAGGCTCACCATCGTTGATGGGAAGTGTCACAGGAACCATTCACTCGCCCTGGGGCCCTCTGTCACATCCCCAGCCTGTGGGGCCTGTTTTCTCAGGCTCCTTGTTGTTTGCCCCACTTAGAGGCACATGGGAGGGTTTTTTAAATTTTTTCTTTTTATTATTTTGTGTGTATGTACCGTCGAAACAGATCTGACTGGTAGAGGAGGTGATTGCCCCTCCTTCTCCAGCAGAGCATCGGGTGGATTCGAACCGTACACCTCTGGGATTTCAGTGCAGCTTAGGCACATATGTTTTTTAGTGAGGCTGTACTTGACTTTGCGGTTAGTCGGAGCTAGTTTGTAGGATGCTTACTGTCCAGCCCTTCCTTCTCTCACAGAGGTCTGAGTAAGGTAGGGGCTGATGCAGGCAGCAGGCCTGCCATGGGGCTCCAGCCCACACCCGGCACCTTTGGAAGGCTTCAGAAAGAGGATGTGCCAGCTAGGCTTATGTAAGAAAGACATGGAGGGTCGGGAAGGAGAGGAAGACTCTCAGCCAGGTGGACTGACGTGGTGACTGCTGCAGTGGGCTCTTGTGTGCCAGCAAGTGTGAGGATGGCGCAGGATAGAACAGTGTTCAGATCTTTTGTTCACAGGGTTGCTGTGAGTCGTACGCGACGGCACCTAACAACAACAACAAATAGGAAAGGATCAGGGAACAAGACCAACTGCTTTTCTCCCGACTTTTTTGTCTTTTAATCTATAGGTATTGTTTTCTTTTTATAGCTTAGAAACGTTTTTCTAGTTTTCATATAAACTTTTTGGAACCCGAGTAAGATCCCAGTTCTTTTTTGTAACTGTGAACCAGGCTCACTGAGGTGACAGGTGGGTTTTGGTTTCGTCTCTCCTTAGACCCCAGAGCTGGAGCAGCTGGAGCCGACTCTGGAGGACGTGGAGAGCATGAACGACTTCGAGCCCTTGTTTTCAGAGGAGGCACCTGAAGTGGAGAAGCCAGCTCCCACTGTCCAGGTCCGACGGCTGTGTAGTCTACAGTAATGATTGGACTGGTCAAGGAAGATCCAATTAAAAAAAAAAATTCTCAGCTATGTTTTCTAGAAAATGGGGTGCTGAAGCTTAACAACGTCTGACACTAGAGGTTTTTCCCCTGGTGGTTAACGCCATATTTTGGACATGTAGCCAGGAGACATTATTCCTTGGGAAGGGACATCATGCTTGGAAAACTGGAGGGTCAGCAAAAGAGAGGAAGACCCATCGACGAGATGGATTGGCACAGTGACTGCTGCAATGGGCTCAAGTGTGTCAGAGATGGTGGGTCTGGCACAGGATAGGACAGGGCTCAGATCTGTTGTTTGTTGGGTCCCTTGCGAGTCGTACTAGACTTGAGGGCACCTGACACCAACAGCAGCACGTGGATCTGTGAGACCATCTGCCCAGCAGAGACATTTGGGCCCCTAGTTGAGAACTTTAGACTCAGAGATTGGCGTTCAGTGGTTTCATTTAAATTGAAGGCAGTGTTTTCATGCTTAATTCTCACCTGGGTCTATGTTTCTGTCATTACCATGGCAACCAGATAAATGTATCTGAGTCTGGGACACAGCTGATTGCATGTTCTCTTCGCTGGGGAGTGACCAGCGGTTAGGAAGGCAGATACTGGCTGGGAAGTTAGGCTTCTCTGCTCGGCCTCTTCCTTGTTCCTGTTCACTGGGGGGTTTCCTCAAAGCTCAGAGCCGTACCATGATGCAGATTGACAGATTGAGGTGGACAGAAGGCAGAAAATTGGGTCTTCAGATCCAGACAGTCAGGGAAAGGCTGTCCAGGCCCCAACGAAGGACAAGAGCAGTGTTGGGATAAGAAGTACAGTTTGAGGAAACTGGGTTGATTGTCATTTTGACCTAAAAATATCTTCTGAACTTTGGGTCTTTAAAGCCCGTGTTTAACTTGGCAGCGTATCACCAGCTGTTTGTTGGAACAGAAAGAATCCGCGCCCCAGAGATCATTTTCCAGCCGTCTCTCATCGGAGAAGAGCAGGCTGGGATAGCAGAGACGCTCCAGTATGTTCTGGACAGGTAGGCACAGCGCTTCTGTTGGTGGGGCGCGCGGCGTCTCGCTGACATGTGGGGCTTCTCACTGACGTGTGGGGCTTCTCACTGACGTGTGGGGCTCAGCGTTCTCCCTCCCCTCCAGCAGGCCCTGCACGGGGTTGGGGCTCTGTCATTCTCTCATCATGCAAATCCCAGTTGATTAGCAGAACTTCGCAATTTCTCAGATGTTTGAGCTAATACTGAATGTGCATTGGCTTTTATGTAACTTTGACACGTTAAAGACCCTCTCTGTCATTGCTGCCCAGTTAGAACTGACTCATAGCTTTCCCTCCCATGGGTTTTTAGAGGCTTTTAAATTACCCGAGAGAAGATTGTCCATCTTTCTCCTGTGGAGCAGCTGGGGGATTCAAACCATGTGCCTTTGGGTTGGAAACGTATTTCCCTACTGGTTAGGACACCAGACTTCTCTGATTAAAAACTGGCTCTTTTAGAGCATCCTAACTGTACTCAGAATCTGTGAAAGTTTTTCCCCTTTATTCGAGCTAGCATCTCTCTCTACCAGTCAATGCTCCTCTTCCCTCTTTCGTTGATTTAGGCATTTTCCCCGCAGTTAGAGTTTTCATAATTCTAATTAGATGAGCAGGGAACATGAGTTATACTGTGCTGGCTGCTGTGGTTATAAATTGGAATTGGAATCCTGTTTTATACACTTCTCCCTTCACCACCCTTACCTCTGTTCCTGGTTACAGAGCCGCTGGAACCAGTAGCACCTGCAAGGGGAAGAAGCAATTTTAGCTGTTTTTTGTGTATGTGGCTTTGAGCTTTATCTTAACAGTGAGTGGAAAATGATCCAACATGGCCAAGATAAAGCTGCTTCAAAAACATACTCTGAAGAGAGGTGCAGGGAGAGGCAGGGTGGTGAAAGGATTCTGATCTTGATTGTAATGGTGGTTACTACAGATAGAAATTTGTCAAAATTTGTGTAAATTATTCTTGAGTGTGTTGATTTTATTATTTTTTAGCATATTGATTTTAAAAACACATGTATAGTGCAAACATTCAAAAGATAAAGACTTGGAAGCACGTGACTTGCATTCTCTAAAATCACAAAGGGAAAGTGAAAAAAAAATTTTTTTTACTTTTTGTGTAAATCTTTCTCTTATTGCCTTTGAGGCAAAACTAACACGTAACTGAGCCCTCAGCAGGTTTTCAGAGGCAGTAGATCACTTGGGAGGAGATTGCCCATCTTTCTCCCAACGAGCAGCCTTGGTAGATTCAAACCTCCTGCCTTTGAGTTGGCAGCACAACTCCTTACCCACTAGGCCACCAGAGGTCTGCTTGTGTAGATAGATGTTCTCTGTTTTGTACTTGGAGGTTATCTTTTCCCCAACTGTATCCTTCATTCAGTATTCAAATGTTGTGGGGGCAGGGCCATTAAAAAAAAAATCATCGCTTCCCTCCTAGGTATCCAAAGGATGTCCAGGAGTTACTGGTTCAGAACGTGTTCCTCACCGGTGGGAATATGATGTATCCCGGGATGAAAGCCAGGGTGGAGAAGGAACTGCTGGAGATGAGGCCCTTCCAGTCTTCTTTCCAGGTACTGACCAGTCCCATCTCGGACTAGTTTGAAGAGCACATTATCTATTTCCTGACTGTAAAAGTGATAAAGTTCAAATGGGGGGAAAAATACCTTAATAATTTTATCATTCGGGGGTATCACTGTTAGCATTTTTCTGGCACTATTTCCGGTCTTTAGCCTGTATTTAATTTTGAAAGCAGAGCTGTTTTTATCTACTCTTTGCTCTGTCCTTACCTCTAGTCCTTACTAGACCCCCACTGGTCAGGGCAGGGACAGTGCATGTCTTATGAGGGTTGCAGTCTAAGTCTTTGGCACAGCAGGGATCAGTTAATCGGTTGCTGTGTAAGATATATTCATTCATTGGCAGAGAGAGAGGAGAGGAGCGGCTTGATAGAAGAGAAGAGAAGGAAGTAGAATTGGTAATAGATTGGTTATCAAGAGAGAAGTGGGATGTAAGCTTAAACTTCCAAATCCAGGTTGGGACACTCTTCTGATAATTGTGATACTCACTAGGCTAGGAGATAAAGTAGGAAGAACGAACAGGCTTGCTGGAGAGAGTAGCAAGTTCCATTTCCACATGGAGTGGTCCAGTGGGACACACGGGAAGAGATGGCCCCTCGGTAGATTCTGAGCTCAGGAGAAAGTTGGAGGGTTGATCTGGGTCCCAGCATAATGTGCTGGTGGGCACTGCTTGGGAGAGTGGCTGAAGTCAAAAGTTAACCCCCAAATCACTTCAGTATTTATGAGCATTTGGAGGGTGGAAGTTGCCAGCGAAAGTGTGAGAAAGAGGCAGTGGGCTCAGGCCGAGGAGAAGCAGGCGGCAGGGATGGTTGTGATACAGTCACTGGGAGAAACTACTTAAGAGCTGTTTCTTTGTCTTTCTTTTTTTTTTCTTCCCCTCAGTATTTGTTACCTTATGTTCCTTTTTTTGGTGTTGTTGCTTTTTTTAATTAATTTTTTTATTAATGTTAATGAACGTTTACAGAGACTTTGGTGTTCCATTCATTGCTAGTTGGCACTTTTCTCCCTGCCCACCCCTCCTCCCCAGTTCACTCTTCTCTTTGAAAAGTAAACATTTTGTCATTGGTATACAATCCCTCCCCACAAGTCCACTCTCTCCACATGCAGCATTAGTTCTGAACTCCTATCATGATAATAATATCTAATTATATATCACTTTTAAACAGTTCTCTCCCTCATCTGTTTCAATGCAGTATACATAGTTTATCCCATCTTTCTCAGTCTCTCCTCAACCCCAATGTCCATTGCGCTTTACAACAGTGGCACTATGCAATATTTGTCCAAGAGCTGTTTCTTGATCCCAAAGCTTTTCCTGTGAATTAGGAGAGTGTTGGTCATGGGAAGGCTGTCCGTCTCCCCAGCTCTGTGTTAGCTGCACTGTCGCATGTGGCACAGTCCTGCCTGCTGCCTGTCCCTCTCCCTGTAATGCAGTGAGTGTGTGTCAGCTCATAACAGTCTCTTGGTGTTCTTTTTTATGTACAGCAGTAACTCAAACATAACAACTGTCTAAGACCCTGTATGATCTTTCAGAGGTGGAGAACCCTGGAGACACATGACTTGACATAAGTGGGCTTTGATGTTTAGCAAGATTTCTGTTGGATTTTTCCTTGAAAGCTTATTACTACACCATCTGGCAACTTAAATGAACCAACAGAAGTACAAAGTACTTCTAGCCACTGTGAGCAATTTTTTACATATACTTTCAGGCTTTTTTTTTTGTTCCACATGTTGTTGTACTGTTGGGTCAAAACTGGCCCATAGCTGACCCTCTGGTGGGTTTCCAGAAGCAGTTAATTGCACGGGAGGAGATTGCCCATCCATCTCCTGTAGAGCAGCTGGTGGATTTGAACTGTGTGCCTTTGGGATTGCAGCACAACTTTTTACCATTAGGCCACCAGAGCTCCCCTAAAATTTTGTATCCTTAAGAGAAAATTAATAACACAAGGTTTAGGCAAAGAGGTTCCCTGTAAATATTTTAATTTTAAAAAATATTTTTGATATCTTGCTTTGTAACCTGTATTTTTCACATTACTGTGTGGGTTTTTTTTTTTAGGTAAATAGGTTTCTATCTAAAGCACCTCACGCACAGTGCTCCACCAGCCCCTCACTATGGTAAATACACTCTCTTGGTGGCATACGTAGTCTGCAGCAGGCTCCGTTACTAACCCAAAGATCACTGCTCTGTGCTAGTTCAAAGCCACCAACTCCTTTGGGAGAAGGATCTTGATTTGATGGCAATGAGATTGAGATATTTGCTGGGCCTTTGTTTTTGTTGTTATGGTAGCTCTGATGGCCTAGTGGCAAGAAGCTGCACTGTGATCCCAAGGGCATACAGTTCGAGGCCACCAAGTGCTCCACAGGAGAATGATGGGAAGTCTCTTCCTGTGCAATTAACTGCCTCTGAAAACCTGCCAGAGGGTCAGCTATGTGTCAGTTCCGATTCGATGGTACACAACAACAACAACATATATATGTCAGCAGTCCTTCGCCATTTCTGCTTTCATATGTACACTTAGGTGACGTCAGTTGCATTTATCATGTTTGGTCATTCCCCCCCCACGAGTCCCCCACTGACAATGGTGTTCCATTCAAGTGAATCCTTCTTGAGTTAATTCTGATATAAGTTGAGTATCTCCTCTCCCTACTTCCTTTTAGTATTGCCTTTATTATCAGTATTTTTTGTAAATCCTTTCTTTGTCAATAATTGAACATTTGAGGTTGAAAACATCAGCAGATTTCATGCTGCAACAGTGTATGTATTATAGATTACTTATCATAGAATATAGCAGAGAACAGGAGAAGGGTGGTCATAGTGTAGCTCGGGTAAGCGGACATGTTGTAATGAACGTACATGCCTGTATTTATTTCTGGATTCTCCCCTTCATCTCTAGCAAAAGCTCAGTGTCCCTTGTGCAGTGACTTTCCCCTCCCCCTCTTGTTTGTAACCACCAGTATACTTACCCATCCGAGATACTTCAGTCCCTTTGTGACTGACTTCTTTCACTGATAATCGCTTCAAGGTTCTTCCACGTTGTAGATGTGTCAGAACTTAGGTCTTAGTTGGGTGCTGTCGAATTGAAACCGACTTCTGGCTGAACCTCCATCCAGTAGGTTTTCAGAGGCTATAAATCTCCTGGGAGGAGATTGTCCTGTGGAGCCAGCTAGTGGATTTGAACTACAAGCCTTTGGGTTGGCAGCGTAACTGCTTGCCACTAGGCCACATGCCACCAGTAAAACCATTGATGAGCAGTTAGGCTGTTTCCACCTTTTGACTCTCTAGAAGACTATGTCCTTAGGATGGGTAAGCTGTTTGTCATGACAAACAACAATGACTGAATATTTTTTTTTAAAAAAAGGAACTGGGGAAAAGTGGACGGAGGTGGGGTAAAATGCGCAACAATGAATGAATGAAAATCTAACTTTTCTGTAAACTTTTGTTAAAATCACAATTAAAAGAAAACATTCATCGTTGCATGATGTGGAGCATCTTTTCACATGCTTGTTGGCCGTTTTTGTTGCTTCATTCATGAAATGTGAAAGCATCATTTCTTAAAAATGGCTTTTTAGTATTGGTAGAGCATCTTACAGTATTGTTTGTTCGTTGAGATAATACCTCCCATTACTGAATATTGCCCTGTCCCGGGCAGTACACTGAGCGCCTCACGTTTTCTCGCACTGACTGCTCAGGCAGGGCTGCGGGCTCTTGATTTTGCTGGTGGGGAGGATTCCCAGAGAGGATGAGTCCCTGGTGCTCGGAGCCCCCTAGTGAATGTTCCTTCCATGTTACAGGTCCAGCTTGCGTCTAACCCCGTGCTGGACGCCTGGTACGGGGCTCGTGACTGGGCCCTGGACCATCTAGACAACAGTGAAGTCTGGGTCACCAGAAAAGACTATGAAGAAAAGGGCGGAGAGTACCTCAAGGAGCACCGGGCCTCCAACATCTACGTCCCCATCCGCCTGCCGAAGCAGGCCTCGCGCTTCTCGGACACCCAGTCGTCGGGCAAGGGCACAGGAGCCACTGGAAGTGGTGCTGGTGAGCATGCTTAAGAGAGGACCCCTCCTGAGAGACCACCCTGCACACGGTGTTCCCTCAGGCCCGCTGGCCAGTGTGACTCACAGTGACTCTCCCAGATGGTTCCACCCAGAGTCTGGTGGCAACACCTGGCTGTGGAAAGTATTTCTCCTGGGGAGAACAGCATTAAAGCATATTGGGAGTCCCTCATGGGAATCGTGGTCACCTGAGGACTTCTTTAGAAAAGAACTTACATGGCTCCATGGTGTCTCTGTGGAACCGTAGATGGGCTGAGGCATCAGCTTCTGAGAAGCTTCCTGCAGCAGTAAACAAAGGCAAGAGGAAGACAGAGACACACAGGATGCAAGAGACTTAAGTTTTTGCTGCATTTTGAAGCCTTAAGATTTGACTTGTCGCTGTAGATACTGTTTTCCTCTAAATTTGTTCTGCAATTGTGTGACTGTCCAGCAGGGGGCAGTCTTTCATCTACATAAAAAATGTTTATGTAATAAAAACCATGGAATCTCAGGAGCTGGAAATAGTCCTTTCCTTTCATTGTTTTCAGTACAAATAAAGACAAAAAGCCTGACAGGGTAACCAGCCTGTCCAACATCACTACTGTTAGAGAAGAGACTGTGTGGTGCCCATGTCTGAGTGAGTGTCCAGTGTCACGCTGTGAGGGACTGCGTGGTACCCACGTCTGAATGAGTGAGAATGGGACTGATAACCCACTTTATGCCCGTGCTGTCTTCTGGAAAGTTCCCCACTGTATGAAGCCTTCCTATAAATGCTTTCTTTTTGTCTCCTTCAATTTATTAGCTGCTTAATATTTCCAGGCATTTTTAAAGAAAAAGACTAGAAAAGAGTTAATCAGATGCAGCCTTTCCAGTTTTTCCATAACCTTATCGCAAATTGGATAGGAACCCTGCTCTTTTACAGATACTACATTGTTGAGATGTTGAGACCTTTAACACACCCAAGGACTGAAGCCATTGGAGAAGGCCTCTCCATTTATGTAAACCCCATGATGCTTCTCGTCCTCTCCTCTGATACACCTGTTTGTTCATACAGTTTACCAAGGCTTGTCATCTGTATCTCCAGCTCTCGAGAGGTTAGAAACTGCAGATGGGAATGGGGAGTGTTGGCAACAGAGATAGTGAACATAAAACCTCCCAAGGCATTGCACAGGGCACTACTGACCAGAGAGGTGCCTAAAGGACAGGCGAGATGCTGAAAGCACAGATGAGATGGTGACAGGTGTGAGCCACCAGGAGGGAGTGGATGTGAAGGAGGAGGAGGCAGGGCCAGCCTCCACGTGACGAGCTTCCACAGCACAGTTCCAGGAAGAGGTGTGCTGCCAATTGTTCTCAGAGGCCTGCCTGTCTTGTCACACAGCTAACAGATTAAACAGCCTGACCGAGGGGGTGTGATGGGGAAGAACTCTAGGGTGGGCAGATAAGGTGGGACACAGCCTGGCCAAACAAGCTTGAAGCTGGGTCTACTTGGGTCTCTCAAGGCTGGAACTGCAGGCGGGGACATAGCTCTCCTGTTTGATCTCATTCCTCACTTGAGCACGCCATGGCTTTCAGTGGTTGCGTTCAGTGCTCCTTACAGAATCCTGCTGAAGCTTCTTCAATGCACTGGGCAGGGCTTTGTTCCTCTCAGGGACTCTCAGCCCTTCACACAAACCATCCATAGAACTCCCCGTAATACTGTGGACTTTGTGTCCCAAGATGGTCTCTTTTGAAGTAGAAAGTGTTCCTTCAACAGCAGGAAATGTATTTCATTCAGGTTGGAGGAAATCAGAGCTCAGTGCTGCATTTGGAGGGTGCTGAGAGCACACTGGATTTTTAATAAGTGACCTGCTAGATGGATAAGTGAATGATAAATATAAACAAAGGTAATTTGCGGTATCTTACTCTAAATTAGGAGTCTACATTGAGGGCTTTCCCTCAGCCAAGAAGCCCTACTCACTTCTTGTGCCTCTGATCCTTCCAGGAGCCTTGGAGAGAGTAATCTGACTAAACTATGAAGGAATGGACTCCCGTGGATTGCCTGCAGCCTGACTAAGGGGGCATTATAGGGAAGAACCCTGGGGTGGGAAGATAAGGTGGGACACAGTCTGGCCAAACAAGTTTGAAGCTGGTTATTTTCCATGTATTGGTTGAGAACTATTTGTGGGTTTGGTGGGAGGAAAAGGTAGAACAGGAGAAAGGATAGGTCCTGGGTCTTTAATATCAGGTTTGAGTCTGAAGATTGATGTGGTGTCAGGGATTCACTGTTCAAAAGGGCTTTCCTAACCATTGAACTTGACTGCCACATGGATAGGTGGGATCGAATAAGATATGCTGGTTTATGAGCAAGGCTAGTCTTGCCATTAAATTGAATGGATTCAGTGGCAGATCTCACCACCAGCAAAGAAGCAGCAGCAGCAGAGAGAATGCAGTCCACGTTTTTCAGGGCCAGAGATTCCTGTGCTACTCAGACCTTACAGAAACAAGCAACTGCACCAGAGAACCAGAGACCTGACATGAGAGCTAAACTTGGGACTTTTACCCTATGGAATCAAAACTAGGAGCCCAAGCTTGTTGGAGGACCTTAGGTGGGTGGGTGCTTCAACCTAGCTTGTTGGAGAAGCCATAATTGGAAAGACTAAGAAAGCTTTGTAACGCTAGCCTAAAGGGCCTGTGAACACACCTTCAGATACTGTCCTGACTGAGAAATTGTATCCTATTGCCAACCTGAATTGTAACCTGTTAACTTCCCTAATGAACCTCATAATCGTGTTTCTATGAAGTCCAGTGTAACTATGACAACAGATTTCAGACCTAGCAGGGCAGCAGGATTGGATTGGTGCTGGACTTATTAGAAAGAGGGCATGTCTGACCTCATGGGAATTGTTGATTGATGTTGTTGATGGGGGCAGTTTCCCCTTGTGGAGTTAGTAGAGGTCAGATATGGCCATCTTTATGCTGCCCTAGCTCTTTTTACAAGTGGCCGCCTAGAAGAGTCAAGATTCTCACACCCTGGCTAAAGTGGTGAAGGCTATGTCCCTGATTGCCCATTTTATGTTGCCCCTGTCTCCTGCTGGCATCTCTGGAAAGTTTCACAAAGAGAAAGTACAAAGTAAGATAGGGAAGACTAGTGAAATGTCAAATTATGGCCGGAGAAGGCTAAAACGAGAAATAGTGAAGTCCATTCCATGCAAGTACAATAAACAGAATTTACTTCCTGATGGGTTGAGTGAATAAATGAAATCTATCATCAGAGGAAATTTTGTATTATTTTAAAATTCTGCATTCTTATTTTTTTTCCCCTTCATGTGTACCATTGAGTCAAATCCGACTGGCACAGAAGGAGATTGCCCCTCCTCCTGAGGAATTCAAACCGTGCACCTTCAGGATTGCAGCGCAGTTTCTTGCCACCAGAGCTCCCCTAAAATTTTATATTAGGCAAAGAGGCTGCCTGTGTACCAAACATCTTCTCCATTCTTGGACACGCACCTTGACTACATCTCCCAGCCTCCTTTGCAGACATGCATATAACTGTTCCCTTTCTGGCTGATGGAATAGGGAGGGAAGGCCATTTCTCAGGAGAACCTGTTTCCTCATTCACTGAATGGAGAGCAGTACAAGGCCCCAAAGGGGAGTGGCCCCTGAGTGGCGGAGTTTATCTGCTACAGCATGTGATAGTCTCACTGAAACGTACAAAGTAATAATTTGAAAACCTTGTATATGTATTAGGGTGGAGTTTTTATATAAGAAAAAGAATATGAAGTAATATTAAATAGTAATAATTTTCTCACTAGTAAGTGGGAGCAATTCCTTTCATCCTACAGGAATATTAAAAGAAATATAACTCCCAGGGGAACTCTGGTGGCCTAGTGGCAAGAAGCTGCACTGCAATCCCAGAGGTAGGCGGTTCAAATCCACCAGATGCTCTGCCAGAGAAGGAGGGGCCATTTCCTCCTGTACCAGTCAGATCTAATTTGACGGTACACACACAGAGAAAATGATAAAATAAAAATAAAAATAAAAATAAAAAAATATATATATATAACTCCCTAAGTATTTGAAGGCACTCTGATGGCCTAGCGGGTAAGGAGCTGCACTGTCAACCCAAAGGCAGGTGGTTCGAATCCATCAGCTATTCCGTGGAAGAAAGATGGGGAATCTCTCATATGATTTACAGCCTCTGAAAACCTGAGGGAGAGTCAGCCATGCAGTCAGTTCCAACTCGATGGCACACAGCAACAAGGATTTTAAGAAAAAGAAAAGGCTAAGCTGATACAGAAAGGCCTCTTTCGTTACGATATGCACAGAAAAGTTGGATAATGTCTAACAATGACAAGCAAAATGTAATGCTGGGCCTGATAGCGAGAGTCATAGATGTTATAAGGACAGAAATCAAAGCCAGAGCATTAGCAAGCTGATGCTACACCACCCCATTGAGGTTCCATACAGAGAAATGTGTCCCTGTGGTGGGTGGGAACAGCCTTGAATGCTCATAGAGGGACCAACCTCGACCCCGGGCCCTTATCTACTAAGGAAGCTGGAATAGGCTCCCTGAATAAATCATACTAAAAAAGCAAGGGTAACCTCAAAAAGACAACTAATGGAGTATATAAGTCCAAAAATGAGAAGGGAAGAAAGGGAAATTATTCATAAAAAGGAAGGGAAGAAGGAACCAAGTGGTAGAAATAAATTCAGATATACTAATGTCGAGAGATAAAAGCAGACCAATCAAGAGAGAAGAAGGAAAAGAGGTTCTTTTTATATGGAATAGTTAGTCTTTATTTTTCTTTAAAAAAAAGTAGACAACTGTATGATATTTTTTTAAAAGCACATTGAAAACCCACAGAGACAGATGGTAAAAGATGCCAGGCAAGCAAGTACCAAATATTTTACCTGCTGTAGTAACAACACCAAGCAAAATAGTCTCTAAAGCAAAAAAGTAGAGAATCATTACTTAGTAAATTAACAATCTTCGAATTAAACTGTATGGATTTGATAAAAGCGCCTCAAAGTATATAAAG